TAGCCCTACCAATGTCCATATCCATGAAGTACACGTACTCAAATATCGACTGCTTAAGGAACTTCAAATCTTCCTCTGAAGAAGCAGCAGGACGATCAGATGGAGCAGGGCGAGACGTCTTGACTTGCCCCCAGGAAGCGAACAAGTCTTGGATAGAACGCACAATCTTGTCAGCATCCTGCAAAGAAAATTGCCAATATTAAAGATTCTCACTACAACGAACAAGATAGAAATAAAAGTGAAGCAAAGATTACCTCATCAACAATCGTGGAAGATGGAATGTCCTCAACCAAGTCTGCCACCAATGACTCCTCCGTTTGTGAGGACTTTCCCTTGTCTGAGCGAGAAGATGTTGCCACAATGGGCAGACTCATAGGAGTATCTGCAAAACTCAAGAGCAACAAATCAGAAACCAATAGCACAAGCAAAGGTAAGGCATCAAAAAACTGAATTACCTTCTGCTTCGATGTTTGGGGGGTTGACGCCCTGGGAAGAAGGTGGCTCATCCATGGGTTGTGATGAGGATTCTGGGACTGAAGATGTCTCTTTAAGCGTAGTCCCCTCATCAACCGGTTTGGATGAAGCATCCTCAGCGGAGGATGATGGAGCAGGAGCTGTCGATGCCAAAGCCTTTGAAAGAGAGGCTGAACTTTTCTGAGAAGTCCAAAAAATCATCAGCACACAGAAAAGTTTCAAGTATGGAAAAGTATGCTTGTAAGTAAACCAATTTAATTACCTTTCTCCTGACGATAAGAGGGGTATCATCATCATCATCAACATTATCCTCCAGAATGGGAGATGCTGAGGTTGGCCATTTGTGGCTTGAGGCACTCTTGGCTGTAGTAGGCTTGGCAGGGAGAGAAGAAGATGGACGAGCAGACTGTTTAGCGCGACGAAGAGGAGAAGGACTCCGGACGGACAAAGGAGTGACTAAAACAGGAGGAGGGAAAGAAATGCCCGGCTGGTCTAGTGAATGAAAGGCACGATTGGCATCAGCCGCAAATAATCTACGCTTCACTGACGGCTAGAGCTGTTCAAAAAGAGGATGGATGGCGTGGCTAGAATTGAAGGGGGCTAATGAAAAATAGTTGGTTAAAAGAAGATTGTGAGCATTTATAGCCTCTGCCTCCGCCTTATTAATAATATGAAAACGGTCAATTAAGTTCCTTGAATAGCAAAGAGGAACAGGCCAAGTTTGGCCGAAACCAAGCTGGCGAGCAAAAAATTGGGGAGCATAAATTTCTACGCCTGCCTTGGCATTGGTCCCAGTTAAAATATCATGAAATAGCTCCCTCCCAATTAAAAATTGGATCCAAATGAGTAGGGAGGTGCTCGCGCTGTCTATAGTGGAGGAGAGATGTACATAGTCTGGAGTCAAAAAAGGAGGAAAAGGAAAAAAGGAAGAGATTGAATCCAAAAAATAAAAGAATGAAAAAATGTCCCTTCTGGACATATTTACAGGAGCCAAGGGCTCCATGGTTAGCCCATAACAGCTAGCAGAGGAGCGAGAAATTGATGGAGCACCAAGCAATGGAAAATAGGATCTCAACCACAGTTGAGTGAACCAAAGAGGTCCACTACCAGTGGGAGATGCACCATTCTTCAATTGAGTTTGAAGAGAAGTCATGCCTCTATAAAGAGCAGCCAAAAAGAAAGAACATAAATTCAAAGGCCTATCACGCGCCAATTCATGCGCTATGGGTAAATAACTCAGGGAGGGCTTTATACTTGGCACACACAAAATATATTTACAAAGCCAAACTAGAAGAAAAGTCACTCGCTCAGTATGGGAACGCTCAGCGCTTGAATGATTGTGAAGGGTTTGCAGGCTTGAATAAGACTCAGTGTAGTTTCTACCAAACTTTGGGGCGCCACCAGAAACCAAGATATCAGGAAAAATGGTATCGCCCAAAGGTGGTAGATTCACTAGGGCCCCAACATCCCTTAAAGTAATAGACATGGGTCCAAGAGGGAAAACAAAGGTATTATACTCAGAAGACCAAAAACTCAAAGCAATCGAAAAAAGTATTGAATCAAAAGTAGGGGGGCGAATAGAGATTTCTAACAAATCAGAAATCCTAATATTATCAAAAAGTGCCTTAGTAGGACCATGGCCCACAAGAGGAGCATGCCACCTACGAAAAGCTACATCAGATTTAGGCCAAGTGCGAATACCTCTTTCTCGAAGTGGCCCCAGTGGCAGAGAGTTTAGAAATGGAGGGCCTTGAGTACAAGGAAACAGCTGACCCACCGCCGCCTGTTCAACTGCCTCTGCATTGTTGAAGAAAGGACCTAAGTAGAACTCATTGCGTTCGACATCGGCGTGCGCGAGAAAACTCGGAGTTATGTATGGACGACTCAGAAGTTTATGAAAGTCATCAAAACTAAAGGAGTCGCCGGCTTGAGATTGTGAAGTAGCCATTTGAGATGGAACGAAGTTTTTCAAGGTAACGTAGTAGGGAAGCAAAAGATGAATAGTAAATCGTGGGAGAGACGCGAAAGATTTGAGGCGTGATTTAATGGTGCAGTGAAATGGCGTGTTTGGGGGTTATAAGGGTTTGCAAAACGACGCACCTTTTCAAGTCATGAAAGAAAACAATGATTGAAATTCTTGAAAATCTCGAATGTTGCTGGAAACACAAAGTGAATATGGCAAAATTTAATAATTATTATTAATTCTACCATATTTGGGGGTAATTGTTGACACATTAAAATTCAGCCTAAATCGAACGGCCCAAGGAATGAAACCCAATTGGAGGATCCCCAAATCAGATAGCCCAAAGAACAAAGCCTAATCAAACAATTCAAGATGAAGGCCCAAATAGGGAGGCCCAAGAACGCGGTAACGCCATCGTCCAAGTTTGCAAGTCGCCCAGAATTTGAGTGAATGGAGTGTCATGCAGTCGCCCAGAGCTGTTACTCTATTCTCGCCCAAACCTTCAAGTCACCTAATGTCTTAACAAACATAAAGCGTTGTGGTTATCAAGAAGTGCAGTTATCAAAGCAGTTATTAAAGCAGCCCTATCACGTTCCACGATTCAAGGAATTCAATTGAAAACGGTTGAACGACGAAGAGTAATGACAGCAATTAAAAAAGGCAGTTTTCGTGACAAGCTGGCCATTATGAGGAAAGTGGGCAGTTGCAGAACGATCAAGCAGTTTTTAGGCGGTTGATCACAAAAAAGATCATCCATGGAGTATAAAAGAGAGAAAAGACATAGAGCAAAGGACCGAATCAAAAATTCTCGAACAAAGAATATGTAATTTTAATTTCCTTAGTTTTAGACTTAAACACTTTTTTCAATAACTCGTGTGCTTGCGCCCCTTGGAGGCATTTTGTTTTTGATTTCCAATTGTAAAGTCATCGCCAATAAAAGAACACCCCTTTTTGGGACTGTCTCAAGAGATTTGTCCCTTACACAATCGTCTGATCCTTTTTAATTGTTAGCGACTAACCCGCGCGAAACAGTTATGTTTTCATTTGTAATCATTTGAACTATTTTCATGACATCAAATCTGAATCGACATGCTGTTACAACTGTTGAGATAACTTTTATCGAGCAATGCTAAATAATTGTGGTCATTAAACTTAAAGAAAATCTTTAGTGTACTTCAAATTTTGTGCATCTGGCTTTATTTGGCTTAAATAAAGAAAAGGTAAGTTTTGAGGGCTGATTAAATGACCCCCTTCATTTTTTTCTTGCAGGACTTGCACAACTGTTTCTTGGACATTCCGCATATTCTATGAGAAGGCAATCCTCCCAACTTCACTTTTCATTTTATTCTTCTTGTAAATTTCACACGATTTTTACTCATGGCCAGCGGTTGGCATAAGTTCTACTGCATGAGCCTGATATTTCTTTATGCTACCCAGAACTTGGTTAAACTGTGTACATATCATTGTTATTAAAATGGTGAAAGGAGCAATCCTTCTTTGTGTGTGTACATATTATCTCTTGTGTAACTTTTAGGATTCCTGTCTTCTAGAATCTGTTTGTTTTCATTCCTTTTGTTTCCTGTATAAATTGTATGTTATAGTTATTTTCTCTCATTTTATGTGTTTAGCTGAAATATCTAACTTAAATGAATGTCTCGTCCTTTTCCTGAACAGTTATATGCGAAATGAGATTTGTATATTGTAAAAGAAGAGGCCTTATTTATATTGATTACTCTATGTATTACATAGATCATCTTGTTTATTTATACCTATTATCCTTGGTTCTCGTTCTTTTCATTGGATTCTATTATCGATCATCTCTCTCGCTTTATGTATATATGTCTTAGACACTTCTGGAATTTGAAAGGCATAAGACTCAAAGTGGCGAGATTCAACTTCCAGTTGTTACTCTCCCTGAAGTCTTAGGAGCTGACAACGAGGTGAGTTTGTATTTAATATTTCTTAATATGTACTCTTTGCCAACTTAATATCTCTATCACCATTGATTCTTATTGGTACTTATTTTCTTTATATATATATTTTAAAGCAAGGATATAGACTTCTACATATTAAAAAATTTAAAAATTGGCTGCCAATATTTGATTAGACATTTGTAAATTGGCTTTGATGTGTTTTATACTACGCACGTTCTTTATTTCGTTCAGAACATTTGCAAAAAAATTGTGTAAAGAATCCAACCCTGTTACAGTAACATCAGAAATTTGGGTAAAAGAATATCTTTGCATTGCTATTAAGTCGAAATTTAACTCTTAAATACATCCTTTGGTGAAGAAGGAATGTTGCATCACCTTTGGTACTTCTCATTTCTTCTGCATGGTAATGAAAAATATATACAAAGAACAAGATATGATGGTTTTTGAATTTATGCAAAAAAACTGTTTAGAAAAAGAAGCCGAAAGATGAATGAAGTGAAGCTGTTGTACTGTTGCATCTAGAAATATCATAAAATTTATAAACCCTTAAGACAAACATTTTGTGAATGGATTATATTTATTTTTATGCATGTTGGTTTGACTTTGATGGTCTTGGATGGCCATATGTAGTATTTTTATTTATTTTTTTTTTTTTTAAACGTTGGTTGACAAAATTTTTACCTGGCATTTCTCACAAGCACACAAGTTTTTAAGATTTAACTGTCTTAATATTAATATCTGAAGCTAATTGAACAGGGTAATGGCTCTCAAGGATCAGGCAGGGCTCGGAGAGATGCTGCCTCCCGTGCTATGCAAGGATGGCATGCCCAACGTCTTTTTGGTTCTGGTGATGTTGGCGAGACAAATCTAAAAGTCTGTGGAAATAAATATCTTTATGCTCTTCTTGGGAGTTCTATTTTTTTCAACACAATGAGTGATTCATTTATGATTTACACATTTCTTTTGTAAATTATATTTTGATAGGACAAGAATCCCAGCACTACGGCAAACCGTGAGAAAAATCTCAAAAGCACTGGTAAGCTTGCTTCAGTTCAAAATTTTCTAATGTATTAGCTCCTCTTTGTTAAACCTTATTTGGAACTATAGAATACAGGATCATGCGAGTTTTTTCATTGAGAAAATAAGATATATTTTTATGCCTGTCAGTTACCCATTATAAGTTTTTTTCGTTGTCTTGTTAAATGGTAAAATAGAGAAATGACATCTAGAGTCTGGTATGTGGATTTAGGCCCACTTAAACAGAAGAGACTGAATGAAGTGGAGCTTCCATTGAAAGGAGCACGAACTGAAACATCTAAGCAGTTAAGTCATGCTATATCTTGATTAATGATTTTCATTATGGCTAGCTTGTTGGAATTAATTTGCTCTCTTTTAATGAGATAATGCTCAGTTTTAGGCTGAGAACTTTCCTCTTTATCATGGAAATGAAGATGACCCATCATTGTAGAGGTGGAGTTCCATCTCCTTCACCTCTACCTCCACCTTTAACAGGGCCAACTCGATCTTCAAATCTTGGAGATGAACTATAGATAATGAAAACCATTGTTGTTTCATGCGCCGTTGAACTCTTCTTTGAATACCAGATTGGAATTGTGCACCATACCTGTTATAGTTTTGCACTTTTGTCATGTATAAATACTATCGTGCCGCCAATTACGTGCAGATAGATTGTTGGGATTTTGTGCTTGTATTCTGCATTATATAACCTTGTAATTACAACAAAGGTGGCTGTAGCGCTGCAAACAAAAAATCTAATGATTTTCTAGCTAGTGGTCACTGGTTTGAGTGTTATAAAAATCACATCCTAAGTTATCGTGGTTTTTAAGCTCACATGGCAAGTGAGCTTCCTTGTCTCAATAAAAAAGTAATTTTTTTTAGTCTCTAATATGTAACTAAATCGTGTTAATGTTTACTAATTCATTTGAGCAATAATTTTGTGTTAGGTAGAAACTGTGGCTTTTTACGCACCTTGTCCAATGGGGATTTATCAAGCCTTGGATTTGATGAAAGCAGTGTGATTTTAATTCTTTGAAATGCTACTGTAAGTTTTGGAGTATGTTTCTATGGATGTTGTGGAAGAGTACGTTTACCAGCGAATAGGTGAGTTTTGATTGTTAAGGGTGTGCACCGTGAAGATTGGGTTGGGCATCAAGACGCATTATTTATACCAATGGGCTTGGTTTATGTTAAGGGATAAAAGAACATATCGATTAAAGATGAAATATAGACCAACTTGTAAGGTCTTGGGCTACTCCTCTTAACAAGGTTAACCTTTCAAAATAGAATCTCAAGTCTTAACATGGTATCAGAGCATAGGAATTTTTCTTCAGTCTTGCATTCTCTGACTTCTGTGTTACCTGGCCTTCATTGCCATTTTTTGGACTAGATTGTCCCTCTCTTTACTTGAAAAATAAACCAGAATGTCTATTACTTCTAAAGCCTCAAATCCCACTCAGATTGTTAATCAATTTAGCCAGACATCACTCAATGAACTTCAGGTTATTCAGTCATATTATCGTCTGAATGGAAAGAATTACTTAATCTGGTCTCAAGTGATTCGAAAAAAATTGAAACGGAAAGGGAAGCTCAGCCATTTGACTGGCCCCATACCCAGCAAAGATGACCCAAAGTGTGAGACTTGGGATGTGGAGGATTCTTTAGTCATCTCATGGCTTTGGGACTCAATGCAACCTGAAATTAGTGGAAATTGTATGTTTTTTACCACTACTAAAGACATATGGGATACTGTGAAGCAAACATACTCCGAAGTTAAAGATGCGGCCTTGGTTTTTGAAATTAAAACCAAGATTCATTCCACTAAACAAGATACAATGTCGGTTACTGAATATTATAATATCATGAATGGTTTATGGCTTGAACTTGATTACTATCAAAATCTCAAGATGAAGTGTGGTGATGCTGCTGCAATGATGATGAAATTTGTCGAAGGAGAAAGATTATATGAATTCTTGACTGGACTTAACATGGAATTTGATCAAAGTCGAGTGCAAGTACTCAGAAAGGAAGAAGTGCCTTCCTCGAGTGAAGTGTTCTCCATTTTTAGAGCTGAGCAGGGAAGATGGACTGTGATGCTTGATTCTCCACCTGTTGATGCATCTGTCCTAGTTGCAACAAGGAAGCCATCTTCAAATATCTTTGGTGTTCCAAAACAAAATCAAGAAAGTAGAGAACCACTGGAAAATAAAGATGACCGTTGGTGTGACTTTTGCAAGAGACGAGGACATACAAGGGGAACCCGTTGGAAACTGAATGGAAAGCCATCATCATTTGGTAGAAATAGCAAGCAGCAGCGATATATCCCACGCAGCAGCAGAGTAAACATAGTGATTCAAGATGAAGATTCCACCAACAATGAACCAGAGACAAATACACTAAATAAAGAGGAGATTTAGATGCTTCGAAGTCTTCTTACGTCAATAGAAAAACCGGTTGGTTCATGTTCATTTGCTCACTCAGGTAACCATAATTTATCCACCACTCTTAGTTCCTCAAAGGATTGTAAAACACACGATATGTGGGTTGTTGATTCAGGTGCTACTGATCACATGACAAACTCATCACATCACTTCACACATACACACCATGTCCTGGAAATCAAAAAATAAAAGTTGAAGATGGTACATTGGCATCCATTGCAAGAAAAGGAACCATTCCTGTCACCTCTTCTCTCTCACTTAAATCTGTACTTCAAGTTCTTAAACTTTCTATTAATTTGCTGTCTATCCATAAGCTCACAAAAGATCTAAACTGCAAAGTTATATTTTTCTTAGATCATTGTCTCTTTCAGAAAATGGTTAGGTGGAAGACGATTGGGCTTACTAAGGAGAAGGAAGGGCTTTATTTCTTGGATACTGGTTGTGGTGGAGATGGAGATCGATTACCTCTAACTCATTTATCTGAGAAGCTCTCAATAAATAAACTTCAGATTTTGCTTCAGCATTTTCGTTTAGGAGATCTATCATTTTTAGTTTTAAAAATTATTATTCCTACTTTATTCAAAGGTGTGGATGAAAAATCTCTTCATTGTGAAGTATGTCATCGCCAAACATCATCGTGTTTCATTTCCTTTGAGTTCTAAAAAATCTATATATCCATTTTCATTGATTCATACTAATGTCTAGGGAACCTCTAAAATTCCAATTATTACTGGAGCTCGTTGGTTTATCTCTTTTATTGATGACTGTACTCATGTTACTTGGTTATTTCTCATGAAAAATAAATAAGATGTTAGTACAATTTTTCCTAAATTTCTGAAACTCATTCAAAACCAATTTGATGCCCACGTCAAACTTATCAGGTCAGAAAATGGTACAGAATACTTTAATTAATTTTTGACACCCTTTTTCCAAAAAGAAAGGATAATGCACTAGTCATCTTGTACAAGTATACCTCAACAAAACGGGATTGCGGAGTGAAAAAATGTCACCTTCTTGAAACAACACGAGCCCTACTATTTGAAAAACGAGTGCCTAAACACTACTGGGGGGAAGCAGTGTTAACTGCGTCTCATTTTATAAACATATTACCCTCAAGAGTGTTAGGAAATAAAAATCCAGTAAATGTTCGTACACAATTCTATCCACAGTTCAATAAATCTAATCAGTTACCCCCTAGAATATTTGGTTGCATCTCTTACGTTCACATTCATACACAATATTGTGGTAAATTAGATCCTAGAGCTCTTAAATGTGTCTTTCTTGGGTGTTCTCCAAAACAAAAAGGGTATAAGTGTTATCATCCAAAATCCAAAAAGTTCTTTGTTAGTAAAGATGTGACCTTTGCTGAAAATCAATCCTTTTTTTGAGGAATCTTATCTCCAAGGTGAGAGATCATTAGGAGATAAGATTGGTCATTGTTTTCCTGTAATTGACCTTGCAAACTCTAACATCCAAGAAAAACCAGAAACAAATTCAGATACTGCAATCACTACTCTACCAAACCTTGATACACTTTCTCGTAAACCTATTGATAATAAGAAAATTGGGAAAGATGGTCCAACTTTGCCATTGTAGGTCTATTCATGAAGGACAGTTGAGCCTAAACTGGTGCAAGCTCAGGAGTTTGATCCTATAACAGGTAATGAAAGTTTTTCAAGCTCTCTTTCACCACAAAATCTCCCCATCACTAAGTTGACAGGCCTTGATATTCCAATTGCCATAAGAAAAGGCACACGAAAATGCACACAACACCCCATATCAAACTTTATTTCCTTCAATAAACTCTCATATTCACATAGAGCATTTCTCACAAAATTACACACCATTAAAATCCCTCAAACAGTTCAAGAGGCACTAAAGAGTGAAGAATGGAAAAAAGGTATAAGTGAAGAAATGATGGCATAAATAAAAATGAGACGTGGGATGTTGTTGAGATGCCGAAGGAAAAAGACCAGTGGGATGCAAATGGGTATATACTGTAAAATATAATGCTGATGGTACTTTGGAGAGATATAAGGCGAGACTTGTAGCAAAGGGGTACACTCAAGTGTATGGGCTAGACTATCAAGAAATATTTGCTCCGGTTGCAAAAATGAATAATATTAGAGTTTTGTTGTCCTTAGCAGCTAACCTTCAATGGTCCTTGCAACAATTTGATGGAAAAAAATGCATTCTTGCATGGTGATCTAGAGGAGAGGAAGAAGTTTATATGGAGACACCTCCTGGCTTTACTATAGGTTTTGGAGTTAACGGTGTATGCAAGTTGAAGAAAGCTCTATATGGATTGAAACAATCTCCTAGAGCATGGTTTGGAAGATTAAATAGTGCAATGAAACAAATGGGGCTCAAACAATCACAAGGCGATCATGCATTCTTCATAAAAAAATCAAGAAGCGGTAAAATCACTATCCTGATTGTTTATGTTGATGATATCACTATAACAGGGGATGATCTTGAAGAAATTGATAAGCTTAGAAAGAAACTAGCAAAAGAATTTGAAATAAAAGAACTTGGAAAGTTGAAATACTTCTTGGGGATTGAAATGACATACTCGAAAAACGGCATATTCATATCCCAACGAAAATACATTCTTGATTTGCTGCAGGCTTCAATGCTCGAACTATTTGAAACGGTCGGAGTACCTGTATTGGACACGACACGGGAATGGGTATAGGATATGTATCGGATCCTCCAAGTTTCAATCAGACACTTCATTTTTATTTATTTAGTTATTTTTGCTTCTTCTTCTTCTTTTTCTTTCTTCTTTATTATTTTTTTCCTTTTCCTTTTCTTTCTCGTTTTTGCTCTCTCTATTAACCTAGTGCCGCCCCCTAAAAGATGGAGAAAGGTGACGGTGCAAGATTTTCCCTTCTTTCTTTTTTCTTTCCCTTTTCTTCATTTTACTTCTTTCTCTTTCCGTATCGGTGATTTAGGATTTTGTTTGTATAAAATGAAAATAAGTTCCATATAGTGCTACTTAGTTCTTCACTAAGTACAGATTGCAATCAATTCCCTCATTTTATATTTTATATAATATTTAGTAATTAATTTCTCATAATTGAAAACTAAACCCTAAAATTCTATTTTATTCGTCTTAACCCCTTATTCAATACTTATTTCCTTCTTTGTGAACAATTAATTTTTGTATACTCAAAATGACATCTTGGGTTAGTAAAAAAATTGAAGTTTGAAAGACATATCCACGTACATTTGTCTGAATTTTGAACTCTTTTTAGTCATATTCCCTTATTCTATATATTAGAAAATAAAAGATCTGACACTTAGATGCGTACCCGTACCCGATACCCGTACTGGAGTCCGAGTATCATAGGATGTAGGAGACAAGAATGCTATGTTGTAAGCCTTCTGAAATTTCTATTGAACAAAATCACAAGCTAGGAGAAGCTACAGAGGGCACAATGGTAGACAAGGGGAGATATCAAAGATTAGTTGGAAAATTCATTTATTTGTCACATACTAGGCTAGATATTGCTTATGCTATACGTGTGGTAAGTTAGTTCATGCATTCTTCAAAGGAGTGTCACTTAGAAGCTGTTCATCGAATCTTACAAGATTTGAAGTCTACGCCAGGAAAATGTGTTCTCTTCAAACATAACTAAGAGTTGAGAATAGAAGCCTACACGGATGCAGATTGGGCAAGTTCAATAGTTGATCGCAGGTCAACATCTGGGTATTGTACCTTCTTAGGAAGAAATCCAGTGACATGGAGGAGTAAGAAACAGGTTTTGGTAGCCAGATCAAGTGCTGAGGCAGAATTTAGAACTATAGCACATGGAATTTGTAAGCTGTTATGGCTCAAAATTATCTTAGAAGACTTGGTTATTGTAGGAAATCATGTGTATGTGTGTGAACTATGGAAATAAGCTAAGTAGTTGGGATTGATTGTATGATTGATTGCAAGTTGTAGTGTTTCTTTAGTTAGCATTTTTTTCCTTTATTAGCTATTTTGTGTATTATAAAGATGTAGTGGAACTATTGTTGAAGGATATACAGAAAAATTCACTCCAATTTTCTCTTCATGGTATCAGAGCCAAGTTGAAAGGCTTGTGATCCCTGAGGTCGCGGGTTCGAAACTCCTTTGGCAGTGAAATGTAAGTCCATGAATGGAGGAGTAGGTAATCAGTCCTATAAACCCTGGGGGAATGGTCATGATATAACGTAATGTGACCGAGATTTGCCAACATATGTTTTTAGATCTCAAATGGTATCAGAGCAGAGAAATCTCTAACCTGGTCAATCAATGGCGGATGCCCCCGCCAATAGCAAAGAGTCGGTGACCTCTGAAATGTCCAATTTTGAAATCGAGTTCATTCCATCTATTGGAACCCAAGGAGTTGAAGGCAAAGGAGATCGTCGTGTTTTCAGCCATGGATTCGGTGGTCATTGTAGAGGCGACCATGGAGGTCGCGGTGGTCGAAATGGGCGTCGTGGCAGTCGCATCAATCCCGAAGAGAAAGAACATGGATCCTTGCCGGTGATTCACGAGGAGGAGGCCGTAATTTGGCGACAGGAGGCGCTGCGGCCAGTGGTGATGAAGAAGAAGACCAGTGAAACCTCCCGTGAAACATCCAGTGAAGTTAGATGGGAAAGTCGTCGACTGGCCAGGTTGAAGGAAGAAATCGGGCCATCTGAGAGTGACGGGTCAGCGCCCATATCCAATTTAAATGGGCTTAATGGACTTATTGAAGTTGGGCTTGAAGGATTTGCCCATAATGTTACTAGAAAAAATTATTTTAATCAACCCAAATCTATTGGGCCTGATGGATCAACCCAGAATTTTAGAAGAGCTAAAAATGGACCATGGTCAAAAGTCCAAAAAGGCCTCCAAGTTTCAGGCAATTCCACTGGAATAAAACCTCCCACTCCAAGTAGTGCATTCAACCCTTTGGTCCAACCCGGTCCTTCTAGTTCCCTTGCACAAAAAGGTAGCTTCTTGAAAGCTTTAAATACCTCAAAATGTAAAATCCCTTGGATTATTGACTCTCGTGCGTCCGATCACATGATGGATTTGTACCAACTATTCTCCACTTATTCAACCTATGCCGGAGATGTTAAGGTGAAATTGCAGATGGATCGCTCTCTTCTGTTGCAGGAAAAGAGAGTATTCGAATCTCTGAATTCATAACACTAGATTCGGTCCTCCATGTTCCTAATTTGTCATGCAACTTACTATCTATTAGTCAATTAACAAAAACATCCAATTGTTCTGCTAAGTTCTAGCCATCTTATTGTGTCTTTCAGGACCTCTCATCGAGGAAGACGATTGGCAGTGCTAAAGAGTGTGGGGGACTGTACTACTTCGAGGAAGCTGATGTGAGTAAACTGGGTCCACGCACTAGCTGTAAGTCTGCATCTGTCTCTAGGGATAGTGATCTTATGTTGTGGCACTATAGAATGGGTCACCCTAGTCTTCCTTACTTAAGACGTGTGTTTCCATCTATCTTCACAAATAACACGTCATTTGAACTTCAATGTGAAAGTTGCAAATTTGCCAAACATCCGCGTACACACTTTCCAAGTTCCACATACAAACCATCCACACCATTTGCCATGATTCATAGCGACTTATGGGGACCTTCTCACATCCCTAATTGTACCCAAACAAAATGGTTCGTCACGTTTATCGACGACCACACTCGAGTTTGTTGGGTATACCTTTTAAAAGAGAAAGCAGATGTTCGCTCAGTGTTTGAAAATTTTCACTCTATGATCCAAACTCAATTCCAAACAAACCTTCAAATCTTACGCACTGATAATGGATCTGAATACTTCAATACTACTCTACAAGACTATTTAACAAAACATGGAATTGTTCATCAAAGTTCTTGTGTCAATACTCCTCAACAAAACGGGATTGCCGAGCGAAAAAATAGACATATACTTGAAGTCGCTCGTGCTTTAATGTTTACTGCAAATATTCCAAAAAACATTTTGGGGGATGCAATTTTAACATCTACGTACCTCATCAACCGTATGCCTAGTCGAGTTCTCTCATTCGAGTCACCTATACAAATATTCCAAAAGCACTTTCCAACGTCCCGCCTAAAAATAGATTTGAACCTAAAAGTGTTCGGATGTACTGCCTTTGTACACATCTACTCTCAGCATCGAAACAAACTTGAACCACGAGCAATCAAGTGTGTTTTCATTGGATACTCACCCACTCAGAAGGGGTATAAGAGCTATGACCCATCCACAAAAAAGACCTTTGTGAGCCTTGATGTCACCTTTTTAGAAAAAACACCTTACTTCCAAAAACCTTCTCTTCAGGAGGAGAACATAAGTAAAGATCAGTTTTTGAATCAAGAATCCTTAAGCCTCGATCTTTCTCTACCTGACCTATATACTGAAACCATCACCCCACCTAACATAAGTAAAGATCAGTTTTTGAATCAAGAATCCTTAAACCTTGATCTTTCTCTACCTGACCTATATACTGAAACCATCACCCCACCTTCTATTGTGCTACATACAGAAGGAAACTTGAAGCCAGGGGGAGATGTTGGAAAACAAAGCAACGAGGAAATCCTAATTTACTCAAGGAAGCCTAAATCAAAGTTTAAGGACACTCTCACACCTGAGGCGCCAAGAGAGTCAAAACCAGTGAAAGGACCTGAAGAAAATGCCTTCAACCAAACCACATCTACAGATAATGATGTTTTACCCATTGCCCTCAGAAAACAGCCACGGTCATGTACTCTTCATCCTATTTCCAATTTTGTATCTTACAAGAATCTATCCACAGAATTTCGTGCTTTTACAACTAACCTTGACAGGACAGAAATTCCAAAAAATATTCAGGAGGCATTGGAATCACCTAAATGGAAAGAAGCGGTAATGGATGAAATGACAGCCTTGAAGAAAAATGGAACTTGGGAGGTGGTAAACCTACCGAAGGGGAAGAAACCAGTAGGATGCAAATGGGTGTTCAATGTAAAGTACAAAGCTGATGGGACAGTAGATCGCTACAAAGCTCGACTTGTTGCCAAAGGGTATACACAGACCTATGGGATCGACTATACTGAAACTTTTGCACCAGTAGCAAAACTAAATACAGTTCGAGTTCTCTTGTCTTTAGCAGTAAATCTGGATTGGCCACTTCAACAACTAGATATTAAGAATGCATTTCTGAATGGTGAATTGGAAGAAGAGGTCTACATGACAATACCACCAGGCTTCAGAACGGGAAATGAAGAGAACCGAGTGTGTAAATTGAGGAAGTCTCTATATGGGCTCAAGCAATCATCGAGAGCTTGGTTTGATAGATTTGCAAATGTATTGAAAAGGCAAGAATATCAGTAAGCGCAATCTGATCATACCATGTTTTTTAAACAATCTAGAGATGGTACAAAAACAATCCTAATTGTATATGTTGATGACATAATACTGACAGGAGACAACATAGTGGAGATGGAAAGACTTAAGAAGTGCTTAGCTGCTGAATTTGAAGTAAAAGATTTGGGGCAACTACGATATTTCTTGGGGATGGAAATTGCAAGGTCAAAGAAAGGCATTAGTGTCTCTCAACGAAAATATATCATTGATCTTTTGACTGAAACAGGCATGTTGGGATGCAAACCTAGTGATACACCTATTGAGACAGGAAAAATAAAGGATACAGGAAACACTGTGGATATGGACAGATATCAAAGATTAGTTGGTAAGCTAATCTATCTCTCGCATACTAGACCTGATATTGCTTTCGCGGTCAGCATGGTAAGTCAACACATGCATTCTCCTAAAGAGGCTCATCTGGAAGCAGTATACAAAATCCTTAGATATCTAAAAGGCACGGCTGGAAAAGGATTATTATTTGAAAAAGGTAAAAAGAATGGAGTGGAGATCTTTACTGATGCAGATTGGGCTGGATCAATCGAAGATAGAAGATCCGCCACCGATTACTGTACATTTGTATGGGGAAATTTGGTAACTTGGAGGAGCAAAAAGCAGAATGTAGTAGCAAGAAGTAGTGCAGAGGCAGAATTCAGAGCTGTAGCACAAGGAATATGTGAAGGGTTATGGATTAAAAAACTCTTGGAGGAACTGAAAGTTGAAATGGAACTTCCCATTAAACTTTATTGTGATAACAAAGCAGCCATCAATATTTCTCTCAATCCAGTACAACATGACAGAACTAAACACATGGAAGTGGACAGACACTTTATAAAGGAGAAAGTGGATAATGGAACTATATGTATGACGTATGTTCCTACTAAGGAACAAACTACAGATATCTTCACCAAAGGATTGTCCCGACCGATATTCAACGATCTTAATTGCAAGTTGACAATAATCAACATCTACAATTCAACTTGAGGGGGAGTGTAGGAAATCGTGTGTATGTGTGTGAACTATGGAAATAAGCTAAGTAGTTGGGATTGATTGTATGATTGATTGCAAGTTGTAGTGTTTCTTTAGTTAGCATTTTTTTCCTTTATTAGCTATTTTGTGTATTATAAAGATATAGTGGAACTATTGTTGAAGGATATACAGAAAAATTCACTCCAATTTTATCTTCAATTATCAAGTGGGAAGGAAGTATGAAGTTATACTGTGATAACAAGTCTGCAATTAGTATAACTCACAATCCAATACAGCACGATCGTACAAAACACGTAGAAGTGGATCGACATTTTATCAAAGAAAAACTAGATTGTGGTCTAATCTGTACTCCTTATGTCGCAACAGATGGACAACTTGCATACATTCTTACCAAGGGACTACCAAGCCGCTCATTCCAACGAATTACAAACAAGCTAGGCATGGACAACATTTGCTTGCCAGCTTGAGGGGGAGTGTTAACAAATCCTCAAGAATGTTTGACATGGAAAAAAGGAATTAAATCCCTGATTTGATTCCATGATTGATTAGTTGTGTATAGACTGATTCCTTTCCTAATTTAATTGCTAAAATTCTGGCCATTAGGGCCTGCTATCACGGAAAGATTATTGCCTATTTCTTTGTATAGAATTAGTTTCCTAAATTAGTGATCATTGTACTCTATAAATTGCAAATTTTTATTAGAGAAATATAAGTCAGAAATCATATTCTGATTCATCTATAGTTTAGTGAACCTTGGAAAAATTCAAGGGTGGTTAGAGGTTTATAGGAGAGATGCTTGGGACACAAATTGATGTTGGAGTTCATTAGTCAGATAAGAGGTTTGGGGGGTTTAACTTGGATTTGAGAATTAAGAAAGATGTATATTTCATCCTGTACAGATTCCACTCATAATGTGAATCTCCTTTGTCAATATAGGCATGTTTGCACTAAACCGCTTAAATCTCATTTGCCTTCATTGTGATTTTCATGTTGATTAACTTCATACTTTCCATAGCACTGCTGGTTTCTTGTGTTCACACATGAACATTGGTTCTTGAGTTCCTAGTTTCTTTTCTGTGTTATTTAATTGGTATTTTAGCTTATCTTAGTAGCCTAAATGGAACTCTGCTTTGGTTGTACACCATTCTGCCAGTTGGTTGACAGGTCTAACAATTCATCTATTGTGGAAGGACATCCTGGCTTGAAAGAGTGTCAAAAAACTTTGAAGTGTAAGGATGTCAAAACTTAAAAGCTGAAGAATGCTAGCAGCAGTAATTGAGGAGGGAATGTTCATCAACTCTTTTAGCAGGTATATTCTAGCTGAGAATATGGCAGCGGCCAGTTAAAGTTGAAGGTTCTGGGAGGGAATGCATGCATGACCTGCATTGTGAAAGTTGGGTCATGACTCTTGAGTAGTAAATTGCGATGTTGGGTGGAATTAGTACCATTGGGAAATGAGATCGAATCTTAGTGGTGGTAATTCAACACTAGTGCATCATGTAGCAGACCTTACAGTCTCTGCCTCTTTGGATATTTGCTCTCGGGTTGCCTTGTGCATTCTGGATGTTTACTCCCTAGAAGTTCATCAGTTGTTGGCTTTATAGTTGACATAGTAGTCATGGGCATAGGGTGAGAAGATCAAGAGGATTGGAGCACAATGCACTTAAGTTGGTGCAGCTGTTGTCTTGAACTTGTTAGAAATTCGATTTGGTAACCACATTGCTACTTGGTATTGGAGATGTGACAAGTATAATTGGTCAGCCAAGGGGCTTCTAGCATATAGACAATTTTAGAGAAATCAACTAGACAAAAAGTTAGGACTGAGGTCCACATTGAGAGTTGAGATGAGTTTTTGGCGCTGTTCTGTTACACATGCCTTAGCCACATCCTTAATATTAGGTGGAGTCAAGTACTATTGATTACCCTACGCATTTCAGTACCAAAGTAGCTGGTGATTTAAAGGGTCAGAGAGTTGTTTTGCTGCTTTAGAAAAGTGTGGAGAGGGAGAATTATTGAGCTAGGAGGTGGAGAATTTTTGGGTAGAAAGTATCTTTTTTACCATTCCTCGGTGATTGTCGGAGTCTGCATGTGAGTGGAAGTGTTGTACTTTGAAGTATGATGTGAAAATGAAATTCTACAGCAGGTCATGGTTAAGATGACATAGGAGATATCCGAGTGGTGCTTAAGACGATACCCACGGGATGCTTGGGACCAAAGTAGCTCAGAAATTTCTTCAGTGAGATGAGAAAGGGAGCTTTAATGGACTTGGGTTTGAGAATTAAACACTTGATGTATGTTTGCTTGAAGAGATATTCTCTTTTGGAGTTAAAAAATGAAAACCGTTGGCATGAACTCTAGCCCATCAATATTTAGTTTTTATGTTGATTTACCCTTTACCATTGAAACACTGGGTTGAGATGCATACATATTGAAAATTGTATATCAGGTTTCACCTCTTTTCACTTAGGTGCAACATTTGAGTACCAATACATTTAGTGAGACCGTTAAATTCATCATGCAACTGGATGCTAAATAGCTACTGTATGATGATGGATTGTTTGTATACAAGGCAATTACAGCATGTTATGCATGCTCAGCCTGGATGTTGCTTTACAGGTGAATTTGAAAAGCTTTGGATTAGAATTTGTGCCAAATTAGCCAGCCTGAAGTGGCAAGATTTCTTCATTTCAGCATAGTTACTTATTCATTGCTAGGGGTAAAATGTTGGGAAATGATTTTCCAAATATTTGCCTCCCCCTACCTTTTCTTTTTTCTTTTCTGAGATATGTAGTTAATGTTTGCATTATTGTTGTACTCTTTTTGTTTATTTTACTGTAGCTATCGACACATTTCTAACTCGACATGTCTCTAATCTGTCTGCCAGACTGGTCACGACAGTTGTTGATGTTGGCCCCCCAGCTGATTGGGTGAAAATCAATATACGTGAAACTGTAAGTTTGTTATAATAGGACTAGCTTCAATATTTACGTTTCTTTCTTCTTTCTCTCAACGAACAGACATACTAAAGCAAATTTTGAATGTGATTATTACTTTTATGTGCAGGAAGATTGTTTTGAACTTTACGCTTTAGTGCCTGGGCTTCTGCGTGAAGAGGTTTGTAGTTGCAGTTATTGGTTTGTTATACTGAGCATGAACTTATAATGCGTTCTTCACTTCAGTTTGTTGGGATATGCATTCTTATTTTGGTTGTTCCTTCCATGTTTTAGCCAATATATTATCATTCATGTACATGTATCGGTTTTGCGTTGTAATTTGTGTTCAGACTGCGTATGAAATTTGAACAACTATTAATGAATCTACTTCTGGTGGAATAGGATTTTGCTTTTGTTTTATTCTATACCCCTGTTAGGATTTGATATGTTTTTGTGTGGGAACGTGTGTGCTCGAAGTGAGATTGTGAACTAAATCCATGAGATGATGCTGGTGCCCTTATTAACTGTTAGGTGCGAGTTCAATCGGATCCTGCAGGACGATTAGTCATAACAGGTCAGCCTGAGCAACTTGACAATCCCTGGGGTGTTACACCGTTCAGAAGGTACGAGTTTTAAAATTTTGAGATTTTGCAGAGGATTTTTGTGAAGGTTACTATGTACAGTCATCATTCCAGCAAAGCGTGCTAAATTACATTAGGAACATAGTTATTACCATGCAGTGAGAAACTATCATATTCAAAACTGTTAATATCTGTAATGAGAATATGTAATTTTTTCTCTGCTTTACAAACATAAAAATTCTGAGCCCAGATTGGAGTTTTTAAAATTAGATGAAGACTGTATCTTGCCAAATTTTTAATCTAATTGATCAATTTTTAATAGCACTTCCAAAGTTTCTGCCTCGTATTTTTGTTCTCGTTTCTTGCATTTAACCTCTTGTTCTGTTGAGTACCAAATATAGTGAAATATAATTCTCACATACTCTGTTGATTCACTAGTTAACAATTTGAAGGCACGTCAATTGCATATCAGCTGTGAATATTTAAGAGTAAATGGCTCAGAATTATCAGGTTTCTGGGTGGTGGTATTCAGGTGGTGAGCTTACCTGCCAGAATCGATCCAGTTCAGACTTCTGCTGTCGTTAGCCTTCATGGACGTCTCATTATTCGTGTTCCTTTTGAGCAGTCAACAGCATAAATCTCGTGGCTTATTAAGATTTTGCGGAATAGTTCAACATTATTTTGGTCAACTGGCTAAATCATAGAAGCAATCTACTTTTGCTGCAGCTCTGTTGCTCATTTGTCTTGAGGTTTCGAATTCCTTTTGTGTCTAGCTTTGACCAGTAATTTTATCACATTGCATTAGTAAATTAGTTCTAGAGGGCTTTTTTTATATTAGAAATTGGAACTCATCAGTGAGACACTAGGGTTTTTTTTGGGTTAGTGGCTTTATCATTTCCCTGTAAGACATGGATTGTTGTTTTGATTAGAGACTCATGATCTCTTTCATCAATATTTTTAGATGGTTTTTTTGGGTCAGTAGCTTTATAATCAACTCATTTTTTTTCCTGAATTATTGTGGAAACTG